TGTTCCCCAGTGGGACAACGGTGAGTTCACGAACTTACAATGCTAAAATCCGGGCCTCGATTCCCCACGGTGAACAGAGCGCAAATAGCCCATTATGTAGCTTTGCGTTAAAACAATTAAACAAAAAAATAATAATACATTTTCAGCTCTCTATATTAACAATACTAAACCAGGGTAACCCAGGTTTGGCGGTAATCTCTCTGCCTGAGAAAAGAAGTAAGCATACACGCTTCAATTCAGTATGACAAATATATAGTTCAGTAGGCCTAAACTGTGCGTAGAATTGTCGCAGGTTTATTCGTATCTAGTCACAGTTTGAAGAACGTTTTTTTGTGTTGTTATTGGTTATTTAACGAAATGCGTTTACAGTTGACGTTTCTGAACAACTTCCCTGTCTAGGGAGATATTGTTTGATAGTCAGTAGTTGATTTTCTCATTCACAGCCACTTTTCAATAGAGGCAGAACTAAGTATAAATTTACAGACATTTCACTCTTCCTTTTTTTTTCCTTTTAATATAACATTTCCTTTTTTTTATACTGTCGCATCTCTCATTTACAATAATATACATCTATTTATTTTTCAATAGAAAATATAGCATGTATTTATTATCTGATTCTCTGAATTAAATATGTATATACAATTAGTAAGAAATTGCCGAATATGTTTTAACTGAATAATATTTAGAATTTTTTTTTCTCTAAATATGTAACAGGAAATTTTACTATAACTCAATACTAAAACCTATAAATTTCCTTGATATACCTACAGCATTTATAATTTGCAATAACAGTAGCTGAAATAAGGCCTGCTGCAGAGGTCAGAATGTCGTCATACTTAGAAAATTATTTATTAACGTAGTTTCCTTCTTGCTACATATGACAAGTTACTACTGTTTTGCAAAAAATCACTTCTTTACAATAACTTTTAAAGTAATCTTTATTAACTAATAAAACATTCATATTTCAGAATATAGTGGAAACGATAGCATCTAGCCATTATACATTTCATTATGTATATTTCTGCATTTCAAACTATAAAAATTTAACAATGCATTTAAAAAACGAAAAACATTTAATTGATTTACACATTTTATTCGATACATTTTTTAAAGCAGGATGGGTGTATGAAAACTTTTTATATTGAACCAAGTTTATATTGAGCTAAATACCAAAGATGTGAGGTTCAAAGTAAGCCTGAAACAATTGTTATAAAACATCTTGAATTCAAGTTGTTAGCACGGAACTTGTCCTTATAAGGTTTGAAAAATATTAGACACATCTTATACTGTGAATGTAACAACTACGTGGACAATTTTGACTTCCCTTTTGCTTTCATTTTCGCCTAACCCTTGCTAGTTCAAATAGCGCTACTGCACTACGTTACGTCGATACTTCCCTGCTCTGTGAGAGCTTTGTCCTGGGAACATTTCCTTATTAACGTCGTACGAGCCAATGTAAACTACAGCGACCAGTTACACGAACTTTGTGAGCCAGAATGGTATTATTATTCTAAACGTATTATTATGGGGGTTATTTTCAACAAATAATGAATAACAAGTATATCTTCCGCACTTCCAAGTTATCATTATTGTTATTTGCTCGTGTCAATGGTGTTCGCCAGCGCGAGGATAGGTCCACCATCATTTGTTTGGTTTGAATTTTGTTAGTGGACTAACATGTATGACAAAAGGGTTATATACAGCTTATTCAAGTAGATTTTGTTACCTTTGGCTTAAGAAGGTCAAAAGCAGGTTGTTTACTTGTTTTAGAGCAAAGCTACACAATAGGCTATCTGCACTATGTCAACCACACGGAATCGAACTCTGGGTTTTTGCAATGTTAGCCCTTAAATTTATCGCTTACCTACTGGGATAACGAAAGTGTGTTTGTTTTCAAGCATGGGCTATCTGTGCTCTGCCCACCATGTGTATCGAAACCTGGTTTTTAGCAGTGTGAACTTTCAGACTTATCGCTGAGCTCTTGGAGGGTGGGGGGTGGGGTGGGGGGGCAGGGAACGAAAGCAATTTGAAGAGCAAACCTTTGTCCGAAATATCTACTTAAGTAGAAGCTGTTCATTGGACATACTTCAAAATTTGTGTCATCTATAAAAAACAAAATAGGATATTTTTCAAATATGTATATATCAACAGTGTGGAAACGACCAGGAGAAAACGTTAAATTTACTTAACGTTTTGCTTTCTATCATCGTGAGCGTTCTCTGCAAATGTCCAACATAAACAACAGGACATTTAGCTTAGTGGTCTGTGAAAATCAGACCCGTTGGTGTGTTAATAAAAAAAAAAGTGTTAAGTGTAATACATTGTTGATCATCAAAAAGTCGCTGTGTTACTAAAAAGTGTGAAGTGTGATATATTGTTGTTCGTCAAGATGTCGCTGTGTTACCAGAAAAAAGGTGATTGTTATATATTGTTGATCATCTAAACGTCGCTATGTAACTAAAAAGTGTTAAGTGTGATATATTGTTGATCATCTAAACGTCGCTGTGTTACTAAAAATATGTTAAGTGTGATATACTGTTGATCGTCAAAATGTCACTGTGTTACTAAAAAGTGTGATTATTTAGTAGACGCATAGTTATAATTGCACAAAGTTTAGCACTGAGTACCAAATTGTGAGCACCAGGTATTTACAATTGAAAATTGATTAGGCCCTCAAAATATACACAATATACAAAAAGTTGTATATAAAAGAGGAACAAACAACGTGTTTTAAGGCTAAATATGTAGTTTGATTTCTCGAAGCTCAGTTAATTCTGTTTCATTCGGTTCGTGAACTTTTTCTATTTGATAGAATTATTGTCTTTCAGACCACATCATAAATAGAAGGCGAAGAGGAGACAGTTTTTTTATCTTATCTAAGCATTCGAGCCATGGAAAAAAATTAGAGAAATAATGCATTGTTGTCATTTGGCCTGACAAGCTGATAAACCACACGCTTATTTTTAAAGCATTGTTTGTTTTTGAATTTCGCGCAAAGCTACACGAGGGCTATCTGCGCTAGCCGTTCCTAATTTAGCAGTGTAAGACTAGAGGGAAGGCAGCTAGTCATCACCACCCACCGCT